GAACCTCATACAGTTGGCCTTGGCCCATCGGTCCAGCCTGTCCAGATGCCTCTGCAGGGCCATCCTACCCTCGAGCAGATCAACACTCCCACCCAGTTTGGTGTCACCTGCAGACAAGATTCCTTTCAGCCTTGAGCATGATGAACACTGGGCAACATTTGCAGGTTGAGATGATGGGAAGAGAGGGCAGCTGTCGCCACCATCCTGAACACACTGACAAGGTCCTTGAGGATAACCCACCAGGCATCCTACTCAGATTGAAGCACGCAAGTGGAGGAGGTAGAGCAGAGCCTGAGCCCACTACTGGAGCTCCTTGCTGTCTGATTAAATTTCAAAGAGATAAGAACCCAGCTGCTGATCCAGCCCAGAGCAATGTGTATTGGCCATAGGAAGTTATATACATCCCTCCGATTTCACTAGAGAATTCATTTGGTGACCGGGGAGAACAAAAGTAGAGTCCAAGCAGCCCCCTTGCTGCTGGTCCTGCAGAAAGGATGCTGGTTTGACCCTAGATCCTGATCCAAGATGAAATTTGTCATTGACTCATGGGCCCTGCATTTCCTCTCCTATTGTCTGAAAGCCAATTTCAAAGTTGTTTTCGCAGCCCTTCATGACGTCCCAGTGCAGCTGTGCTAAATTCCAATGTGAAAGGGAAGAAATAAAAGGGAATTGGGATCAGAGTGAACATTAATAGCCTTCAGAAGATATTTTCTTCTCCAGAGTGTTGACAGACAGAGAGCCCATCATGGTGGACCCACACAGGGCAGTCCTCTCCGCAGCTCTGCTGGGGACAGCGCAGACAGACTGGGGACAGTGCAGCAGATTGAATTGCCTCAGATAAGACCCTTGATTAAAGCCTTTAAATCTTGCAGGACTACATCTGGTACCCTGCTTTTTTTTCACTTTATTTCAGTCTTTACACAGGCAAATCTCTTACTGAAGTCGGGAAGGATCTTCCTGTCTGCAGTGTGAATAAACACGGGATTAGGACTTGACTTTTCATTTTTACTGACCTATATTGAGTCCATTTTTTGTGCTGCCCTAAGTGCCTTCACATGCCACTCATTCATACTTGTTTTTTGAGTCATTCCTAACTAATTTTGTGAGCTGGTGGGTAGTACCTACCTTCACACTCAGCACTTCCAGTTAACTGCACAGCACTTTAAACCAAAGTTTGTTTTATTTTTCTAAGCTACTGTGTTCTTGCTGTGCAGGATAAGGCTAAGGATGTCTGGGGTTGCACCAGTCTGAAAGCCCTAGTTTCAGCCTCAGTCTTCACACTACGTCCAAATAAATCCTGACCTACCCAAGCACTGCCACTGCTTGAAGCTGCTGCCCTTAACCACAGGCACCTCCTATTATTTAATCACAGCAAAAATCATCAGAAGACATGTAAGAGGCTTCTTCAGCTAAGAGACACTTCCCTTGTCCCCCTCTCAGCCTGTACTGCTTCTGTTCACACAGATGAAGAAGACCACCCCAATCTTCCAGCCCACTGCATGACACATCTCATGCCCACAGGGCACATTCAGTTCTTCCTCTGAAACTGTCCCTCAGCCTCACCCTGAGGCCAATGTGTTAAGGGGATTTCCACTATATGCAGCTCCTACCCACCTTTTATCCTCATCCTACCCTATCAGTCCAGGCTCCTGCACTGTCCAACCCTCCTGCCCAGCTGGTGCTCAGCTAAAGAAGCTCTGTGGCTGGAGCAGCGTGGCAGGGACACACTGCAGCTTGGCCTCTCACATATTGTCTGATGAGCTCTGGGAGGGAATTTGCCCTCCAAAGTCTCCTGCAAGTCCAAGTGTGATGGATCTGGACATGCCCTTGCAAGCATTGGCAGACACGGCTTTCCATGGTGCAGCATCAGGTTCCTGCAAAGCTGGTTTGCGTGTATTCAGGAGTCTTGCGTCATACCAGGAGGGCCAGCTTTCAGCAGCTGCCAGAGCTGATGTCAGACTCCACGCACAATAGCGTTTTCAAGTCTTTCTCAGCTCCTCTCTTCTCCCTTCATAGATAGCCTGTAGATTTTGCACCAGGAAGGGATGATAACCACCAACTATTCAGGGACAACACACCCACCTCTGGTTGTACGTTCCCACTTCCCTGTTCTCACTGAGTCTAAACGAGGACAAAGCATCTCTGTACCTTTGATCTAGGCCTACATAATAGAAACTCTCTTTGTAGTGAGAGGCTCAAACCTTCACACCAGCTGCGGCGTAGAGCCTGACTGCAGCAGTAAGGCAATACCCTATGCCTCTATTTGCATTTCCCTTTCTTTTACTTACTGGCCTTTCTCAGCAACTGCCTCACCCTAAAGAAACATTTACAGCCTCACCTAGCTTTGTTACAAGAACCTGTTCTATAGGTTTTATGGCTAACATGGCCTTAAGTTACCAAGTAAAGTAAACCTCACTCCTGTGGCTTTCACTGACTAAAATACTTTGTAAGCTTTGTTATATTGCTGGGTTTCCTCCCAGTTTCTGCCCAGTGTCCCTTTTGTCTGACTGGAATAGCTATTGTTGCAACTTCCTTGTGCCTCAGGAGAAGACTCTTGTGCAGGACAAAGACTAATGGTCCTCGCTGTGGGACCAAGAGCTGGAGGACAGCTGTTCTCCTGTTGGCTCTATAAAGAAGACTCAAATCACCATGTGGCTGCCCATGTGTGCTGATTCTCATGTCCCAGAGAGCTGAGCACCACAATGAAGCACAGACAGTCCAAACTCTTCTGTTGTTTGCTTGTACACAGGTCAAATTAAATACATGAGGGTGGGAAGACATATTGAGGGAGGACTGTGGCTACAGGAGACAGAAAGTACTATGTCCAGAAAATGTGAGCATCCTGAGAGACAACTGACCCTGATTGCTGTGCCTGAGCACCCAGGGCAGGCTCCAGCGTTCAGAGAGTCTTGGTGCCTCTGGACCACATCCTAGTGCTTAGCAGTGCAGCTCCACCATGTTCAGACAAATCTCATCATGAGGAAGGGGCCCAGATTTGACACTTGCAGTGGACTGCAGGACTTGAAGAGCTAACTTTCAGGAACATCATGCATATGTTGATAGGAGGGTACCAGGAGACTATCTCCCTTTTTGGCATCTCCAGATGCACCCAGCAATCTATAGCATGGCATCTGAAGTAATTTATGAGCAAGGATAGTCCTTTTCATACACCATGGTAATGTGGGTTTAATAAATTGAACTTTTGCCAGGACTTATTTGAAATAAGCAGCCCAGGACATGATGTGCAGCCCTGTACAGTCAGGGCAGTGCTTGCATCACCACTTAAAGTCTTTTAGTACCTCACCACCCACTCACCACTTTAAGACTTGGCTTTTTCTGAACAGTTTTCCAGATTTCCTAAGACTCAGTCTACACTGGACTCCAGAAATCATGAGCCACAGCTGACTAAAATGAGGGGTAGGATTACTGAAACTCACTGCCAAGTTTTAACAGATTATATTGAACTGGCTTTTTGGCTGCCTCCACTTTCACACCTAATCAATAGACTCTTATGGAAACTCTTCAGAACTCTCCTTAATTTTGGTTATTTGCAAATCCTTGGGCATGTAAGCAGTCAGCTGGAAAGCAGTGACATGCAAAGTCAGTCTTATGAATGGCTTTTCACAGAAGTAGGCTCAGAACCGGAAGAGTTGCTTGTTCTCTCTATCCTGACATCATTGTACATCTCCCTCCTGCTTCCCTTCCCCACTTCTGCACATCGCCTACATTGCAATCATTCAATGAGATATCACAAATACATACATATTGGCAATACCCACCCCGGTACTCTACTGGAAGGTTCTGTGCAAATCAAATGCACTTTGCCAGTCTCAAATCACCAGGCTTGACAAGCCATTCATGCTGCATAGTTCTTTATATATATTAACTGCAGCGCATTTCATAATCAGGACACATTGCAGAAGCTCTAGGAAGTCTCTAACCTGTGTTGGTTAGTTCATGGATGAAAGGTGACCACTGAAAACTATCCAGTTCATGTTGCCAACAGATCAGCTACATTAAGATCTTTAGTCAAAGCTGTTGGCAAGTCAGACTTTCTATCTCACAAGAAATGACAGTGATCTGATGTGTTGAGTTTTGCCAGTTCTTACCAAGAAAATATTTGTGATGTTCCTAAACCAAGACATGATTCTAAGGAGTTCCTGAGTAAAACTGAAGGATGAATTTCACCACTGGGATTCAGTTATGTAGAGGACAAAAATCCACAAAATTCATTTCAATATCAGTTGGCAGCTGCAAACACTTTGACAGAATGCAGCTTCAGGATCACCTCAAGGAGGAGATGACCGTGCAGCCAGGCAGTACAGGTCTAGCAACTGAGCTACCTCTCCTCTGCACACAGTGTCAGCAAATAGTCCACAGGCTTTGGAAATCAAGTTGCCAAAGGGGCTGCCTGGCACCATAGCCTGGCAGACCTGGATCACAGCCAGCCCATGTCATGATGCTCCCTGGAGTCACAGATTTCATGGCACAATGTGAATCTAAGTAGGCTGTTAAGGAGTGGGAAATAAAGCTGGCAGGAAGCCAAAAAGGCCAGATTCAAAACCTTTCTGCCAGAGAGGATTTCACTGCAAGAACTCAGGAACTGACACATTTCCTTTCACGTTTTACTTTAAATGGAGACATATTTCCAACAGAAAACTCCCCACAGGTTCCTTTATTGAAAGGCCTTGGAGCCTGATCCCACAAATACTTTTGACTCACAATTTTCTGGAAGTGTGTAAAGTCACTGGGTTATGCTTTTCCAGCATTAGATCTCCTTCAACTGCCCATTCTCAGGGTTGACTCCAAAGGCAGAGTTCCCTATGGCTGACTCATCAATGAAGCATCTCTGACAGTTCATCTGGCATGTTTGCCTTGTTTGCAGAGTCATAGCTAGTGTGCAGTCATGTCACCCCCTTGAAACAACATTCAAGACATGAAGCAGATGCAGCTACATCTGTGACTACATCTGCATGAAACAACGTGTGCTGGTTACTTACAGCATATTCAAACTGCACATTAAAATCCCGGTTGTTTGCTTGAAGTTGTCTCTCTTCCTCTGTAAAGAAGAGGAAACACATCAGACATGCTTGACAGTAAGCAGAATCAATACAGATATGAGTGAAGCATCAGCAAACACAAGCAGAGCTGCTAAAAGGCAATGTCACCAGTAATCTGTACTCTGGGCTAACTGCCCCATGTCAGGGAATTGAAAAGGCTGGTGACACTGACAGAGCAGCACTGTGGACTGGTACCATAGCACTCTATGCCCACAAGTCTCCTCTGCCCACAACCCACTGCAATGCCAGCACTGGTTTTACAGGTTGTTCACTTTCTCCTGGATAAGAATTACCACTTAATTAGCAGTGCTCACTATTCCTGCCCTGCTCCTTCTCTTCCCCCTGAAGTCTCTGGGGTTGTTGCCATCAGCCTACTGTTAGTGACCTTCCTCCAGTACAAATGCATCACCTAGCATCATCCCACAGATGGGACATCATCACCATAGCTATCATGAAATCAAAAACTACTGGAAGGGATTTCAAAAGGTCATCATACCTATCCTCTACCTCAAGACAGGGTCGTGCCTGTCACTCCCAATAAATGTCCTAGAAAGCTCCAGTGATGGCTGTTCTTCAGACTGCCTATGCCAGCACTGCAGTGTCCTTCCCCGGGGGAGTTTTTTCCCCATTATCTGACATAAAACCCATTACTTCAACTTAAACAAATTATGTCTTCTCCTGGGATGGTCAACAGTGCTCTTCTGCTCCCCCTCAGTTCCTTGCTCTACTTGCCAAGAATGCAGAGCAGAGATGAGTTCATTATGTATTCATATTGAAGGCTGTTATGCCTTACTGTAGTCTTCTCTTCCCAAGCATAAGCAACTCCAGTTTCTTCAGTCACTTCTTATGGATCAGTCTGTCAGAAGTAGTATCACTCTTGCTGCTCTCAAGCGGGCTTCCCAGCTAGTTCACCTCATTCTGGACATGCAGTGGCCAAAATAAGCTATAAATTGCAGCTGAGGCTTTACTAAAGCTGACCGGAGCACAAGGAACACTCTGCCTATCTTGTAGACAATATATATTTGACATGGGAATTCACCTAGAACTAATTTAAAATAATATCCTTATGCACCACCAGCACGCAGCTGATGGCATTCCAGAATATGATCCATTTTGGCAGATCTTTTCTGGCAGAGCTGATGCCTCATCAGGCAATGCAAATCTTTCATTTGTCCTTGCTGAACTGCATCCAAATTTTTTCAGACTATTTCTCCAGCTAGTCAATTCTAATCCTATCTTTCAGTGTGCTTGTAGCTCCTGCCAGCATGGTGCCATTCGCAGATTTAGTGTATTCTTTATTCTGCCAGCCAAGATATAGAAGAAAATATTGAATAGCAGACTCAAGATACATCCCTGATGAATCTCTCAAGTTTCATAATCAGTCATTGATAACTATTGTCAGTGTATTTTTTTTTCTGAAAAATCTGGCACTCACTGTATGGTGATTTTATCTCAAGCATGTATTTCCAGTTTACTTGTAAAAATGCTGTAAGTGACAGTCAAGATACATGACAGCTATCTAAGACCTTTTCACTAGCCCCCTGGCTACCACTAATACAGAATTAATTTTGGTTTGATGCAGTTTTTCAGGATTGCTGACTGTTAATCATCTTGTCCCCACACACACACTGCTAGTTACTTTGAAGTGGTTTGTTGGATTGTTTCAACATTTACCCAAGAAGTGAAGCCAATATATCTATAATCGCTCAGCTTTTCTTTTTCCCCTGTTTCAAGATAGATGCTATGCTTGCTCTTTTCCCAGTCTTCTGAACTTTGCCTGTCTGTGCACCAGAAACTCTCGAAGGCAGCATTGCTCCAGGCCATGCTCTGCCTTACTTAGCCAACCCATTCCCTCTCTATTGCAGCCCAAAACCTCCCTCCTTCTCCTCTGCTCTCTGTTTCTGGCAACTATTTTGTTAGATATCTAAAGAAAACAAAATGAAACAAAAAACCCCCAGATTTCTTAGCATTATTTGCTAGGCTTTTTTCACTGAGTAGCAGACATAAACCATCTTTGATCTCCCTCTTACTAGAAGGGTTACAGAACCCCAGAGATCCCAACTCTTACAGAACAACTTTTATTGCCCTTTATGTCCTTGACAGCTTTTCCTTGCTCTGAGTCTTTGCCACACAGTTTGTACTGGATAAAACAAACTGCTTTGCACCTTCTATAGCCATTCCTCCTCTGCCTGAAGTGAATGAGGAGCTTGTGATTTCACCATGTCACTCACCTTTCTGAGCCTTTCCCTGAAAGATAACTTATAGCTTTGCCCTTAATATGAATTATTTCAGGAAATTACAGCTCTGCTTAATTCTCCCTCCACCCTAGATTTCCTTCCCATGAGATCTCAGTTACTAGTTCTTCATATTTACTGAAGATTTCCTTTCTGAAGTCCATTTTAAACACTTTGCTATTGTCACTTTTTCCTAAGTATCATACCATCGTTTCATAATTACTCCCGTTTACACTCCCTCCTGCTTTCACAGGACCTGCCAGCTCCTCCCTGTTGGAGGGAATCAGCTCTGCAACAGCATCCTCTCTAACTCCAAAAAACTACCCACCTCTGCACCAAAACGCTGTGCCAGCTGAACAGGTTGTGTTCCCCTACACTCCTCTCCAACTCTGCCTCTGCATGGCTACAATTCTTCATTTACCACCATGCCCTGTCTCTCAGAAAACTAGATACTATTTTTTTTCACAAAAGACTGCCCTTCTTGGTTTTCTATGCCTGTGTTCTTTACCCTCATAACATTACTGAGAGATCTGCAATTTGTTCACTTCTTTCTTCACACTGGATCTCAGAGCACACGGACATACAAGGAAAACCTCTGTTACCCTTCCAGAATAAGCTTTATTCTCTTCTATTAATATTCTAGCCTCATGAGTTATCCCAGCACATGTCTATTATCCCTATTAAATGATGTGTTAAGAAATCCAGTTCTTCCTGTTTATTCACTCCTGCATTAGCAAGTGTCTAAGCTATTCAGTGCATTGAACTGCTGTCCTTCCTCCTTTCCCTCCAATAACCCTACAAATAACACAGCATCCCTAATTTTTAAGCCCTTTTTCAGATCACCATTTTTTTGTCTCTGTCTATGGGCTGTTTTCATCAAGCCCTCTAATTACTGATGGAAAACTACTTTAGCAGGTAAATGTGCTTTTCCCTTTCTTCAGGCACATCTATCTGTGTCGGGCATTTTCAAATCATCTCCCATCTGCCCTGACTGGGTGACTCAGACCAGCCACACAGGCTTTATTCAAGACCCTCATAGTGCTTAATCCTTCACTGCTTTCCTCAGACACATTTTTCTCATCTTTCACAATGAGGAGAACAATGTACAGAGATCAGAGTAACTTGTCTGGTGTCCCAGAGGAAAACAGAAGCAGAGCTCAACAGGTCCAGGCTTACAGGGCTTCAACTATTGTGTTATGTGCCCCTTCAGGAATCTTCCTGAGAGCAACCGGTATTATCAAAGCAGACAAAAGATAAAGCTATTTGTTAAACACAGAACTTCCCAACACTCACACGTTTCCTCCCATACAGTAAGTGCTACTCTTATCCCCTCCCCAGGGGTTCCAGGTCTAGTCCTGGAATAAATGCCACAGAAAAGATAAACAGCTTTAATGTAAATAGGAACGGATGACAAAGCTTGAAAACCTACCGGGCTACAGAGGCGCGCTCACAAGAGCCCATGCTGGTCCTGGGAAGGGGAACCGGCAGGCAGGGGCAGAGCTGTTTGCACGCACCACACGCATATGTGGAGCAGCGCAAGCAAGCCGAAGACCAGCAGTGACATTGAAACGAAAGGCTGAACACTTGCAGGGGACAACGTTGTCCGTGCTGCTCATGGGCAGCAGGTCTGCCCAGCTGCCTTGCCAGAAGGAGCTACTGAAATGCATGATGGACAGAGAGGCACGAAGACATCCAGAACTGCTAATCTGGGCTGGAGCCCTTTGGGTATCTATTCCCTTGCCAGCACATGAGACACAGGGCATAGGACAGAGCCTCAGGGTCACACGGCAGCTTCTGAGAGGCTCTGAAGTCTTCAGTGACCTTCTGCTTTTCACAGGCAGGGCAGCCCTCGAGGGGACTGCACACAGAAGCAGAAATCCAAGTCCTGCTGGCAGCAGCTGGACATGCTGTGAGCTCGTTTGCTCTTCCCAGGGCTCACTGGGGGACTGAGGAGCAGTCCCCTTTCCTCAGCCTGCCCCCATGGTCTGTGCAGCCAGGGAACAGGCACTTAACATGTGCATTTGAATTCAAGGACCTCAAATGCTCCTAGAAGGAAACCACACGTGTATCTGTTCCAGTGAGGAAAGGAGCCTGGCTTCTCAGTATGGTGAGAGATGCACTCTCCAAGAGGAATGGCTTTAATGTACACACAAATAGCTGCAAACAGCTTAGGGATGGCATAGAAACATGAAATGGTGTGATATGAAACAGAACAGCAAATGAAACTCGCTCAAGACATTGCCCTCCTGTGCCTAATCATATGGTACCTAAGGGCAGGTTTTCTAGGACAACCCATTTCTGAAGGCCCCATATAGCTATGAATCTGGTTCAAAACTGAATGAAAAGTTTCTGGCCTGCCATAGCCATCCACCCCTGTCAGAGGCAGTGACCCTAAAGGCCAAAATATGAGGCTAATTTCTAGTGGCAAGATTTTAATTTTCCTTACTGGAGAACAGCCAATACCTTTGGCTAAAGCAAGAACAACCACAATGAATTGCAAAGGGTGCCTCATCCAACAACATCAGCAAGCAGAGCTTTCTGTCTTCTGCTTACACCAAAGGAGAACCACCACTGACCACATGCACAGGGCAACACTGCCTCAGTGGTTTTATTTTTACCAACAAGAGGACTGTGAGATCCTACTGCTTTGCCTCCTAAACCAGCAGTTCTCAACTATCATAGGCCAGACAACTCTTACTTTTTCTGGTACTCTTTGGACAGAAATGAAGCCTCTTGGATGATCATAATAAACAAAAAGTTAGGGA